GTTTGTCGTATATGGCCTTTATTCTGTTGAGGTAGGTTCCCTCTATGCCCACTTTCTGGAGAGTTTTTATCATAAATAGGTGTTGAATTTTGTCAAAAGGTTTTTCTGCATCTATTGAGATGATCATATGGTTTTTATTCTTCAATGTTAATATGGTTTATCACATTGATTGATTTGCGTATATTGAAGAATCCTTGCATTCCTGGGATAAATTCTACTTGATCATGGTGTATGATCCTTTTAATGTGTTGTTGGATTCTCTTTGCTAGTATTTTGTTGAGGATTTTTACACCTATATTCATGAGTAATATTGGTCTGTAATTTTCTTTTTTTGTAGTATCTTTGTCTGGTTTTGGTATCAGGGTGATGGTGGCCTCATAGAATGAGTTTGGGAGTGTTCCTCCCTCTGCAATTTTTTGGAAGAGTTTGAGAAGGATGGGTGTTAGCTCTTCTCTAAATGTTCGATAGAATTCACCTGTGAAGCCATCTCGTCCTGGACTTTTGTTTGTTGGAAGATTTTTAATCACAGTTTCAATTTCACTACTTGTGATTGCTCTGGTCATATTTTCTATTTCTTCCTGGTTCAGTCTTGGAAGGTTATACCTTTCTAAGAATTTGTCCATTTCTTCCAGGTTGTCCATTTTATTGGCATAGAGTTGCTTGTAGTAGTCTCTTAGGATGCTTCGCATTTCTGTGGTGTCTGTTGTAACTTCTCCATTTTCATTTCTAATTTTATTGATTTGAGTCCTCTCCTGTTTCTTGATGAGTCTGGCTAATGGTTTATCAATTTTGTTTATCTTCTCAAAGAAGCAGCTTTTAGTTTTACTGATCTTTGCTATTGTTTTCTTTGTTTCTATTTCATTTATTTCTGCTCCGATCTTTATAATTTCTTTCCTTCTGCTAACATTGGGTTTTGTTTTTCTTTCTCTAGTGCTTTTAGGTGTAGTGTTAGATTGTTTATTTGAGATTGTTCTTGTTTCTTCAGGTAGGCTTGTATAGCTATAAACTTCCCTCTTAGAACTGCTTTTGCTGCATCCCATAGGTTTTGGATCGTCATGTTTTCATTGCCATTTGTCTCTAGGTATTTTTTGATTTCCTCTTTGATTTCTTCAGTGATCTCTTGGTTATTTAGTAATGTATTGTTTGGCCTCCATGTGTTTCTGGTTTTTACATTTTTTTCCCTGTAATTCATTTCGAATCTCATAACGCTGCGGCGAGAAAAGATGCTTGATATGATTTCAATTTTCTTAATTTACTGAGGCTTGATTTGTGACCCAAGATGTGATCTATCCTGGAGAATGTTCCATGCACACTTGAGAAGAAAGTGTAATCTGCTGTTTTTGGATGGAATGTCCTATAAATATCAATTGAATCTATCTGGTCTATTGTGTCATTTAAAGCTTCTGTTTCCTTATTTATTTTCATTTTGAATGATCTGTCCAATGGTGTAAGTGAGGTGTTAAAGTTCCCCACTACTGTTGTGTTACTGTCGATTTCCTCTTTTATAGCTGTTAGCAGTTGCCTTATGTATTGAGGTACTCCTATGGTGGGTGCATATATATTTATAATTTTTATATCTTCTTCTTGGATTGATCCCTTGATCATTATGTAGTCTCCTTCCTTGTCTCTTGTAACATTCTTTATTTTAAAGTCTATTTTATCTGATATGAGTATTGTTATTCCAGCTTTCTTTTGATTTCCATTTGCATGTAATATCCTTTTCCATCCTCTCACTTTCAGTCTGTATGTGTCCCTAGGTCTGAAGTAGGTCTCTTGTAGACAGCATATATATGGTTTTTTTTTTTTTTTTTTTGGCGGTATGCTGGCCTCTCACTGTTGTGGCCTCTCCCGTTGTGGAGCACAGGCCCCGGACGCGGAGGCCCAGTGGCCATGGCCCACGGGCCCAGCCGCTCCGTGGCATGTGGGATCCTCCCGGACTGGGGCATGAACCCGTGTCCCCTGCATTGGCAGGCAGACTCTCAACCACTGCACCACCAGCAAAGCCCTGAGTCTTGTTTTTGTATCCATTCAGCAAGCCTGAGTCTTTTGGAGCATTTAATCCATTTTCGTTTACAGTAATTATCCATATGTGTGTTCCTATTACCATTTTCTTAATTGTTTTGGGTTTGCTTTTGTAGATCCTTTTCTTCTCTTGTGTTTCCCACTTAGAGAAGTTCCTTTAGCATTTGTTGTAGAGCTGGTTTGGTGGTGCTGAATTCTCTTAGCTTTTGCTTGTCTGTAAAACTTTGGATTTCTCCATTGAATCTGCATGAGATCCTTGCCGGGTTGAGTAATCTTGGTTGTAGGTTCTTCCTGTTCATCACTTTAAGTATATCATGCCACTCCCTTCTGGCTTGCAGAGTTTCTGCTGAGAAATCAGCTATTAACATTATGGGAGTTCCCTTCTATGTTGTCATTTTTCCCTTGCTGCTTTCAATAATTTTTCTTTGTCTTTAATTAGTGCCAATTTGATTACTGTGTGTCTTGGCATGCTTCTCCTTGGGTTTATCATGTATGGGACTCACTGCACTTCCTGGACTTGGGTGGCTATTTCCTTTCCCATATTAGAGAAGTTTTCGACTATAATCTCTGCAAATATTTTCTCTGGTCCTTTCTCTCTCTCTTCTCCTTCTGGGACCCCTATAATGCAAATGTTGTTGCGTTTAATGTTGTCCCAGAAGTCTCTTAGGCTCTCTTCATTTCTTTTCATTTTTTTTTTTTTCTTTATTCTGTTCCGCAGCAGTGAATTCCACCATTCTGTCTTCCAGGTCACTTATCTGTTCTTCTGCCTCAGTTATTCTGCTATTGATTCCTTCTAGTGTATTTTTCATTTCAGTTATTGTACTTTTCATCTCTGTTTGTTTGTTCTTTAATTCTTCTAGGTGTTTGTTAAACATTTCTTGCATCTTCTCGATCTTTGCCTCCATTCTTTTTCCGAGGTCCTGGATCATCTTCACTATCCTTATTCTGAATTCTTTTTCTGGAAGGTTGCCTATCTCCACTTCATTTAATTGTTTTTCTTGGGTTTTATCTTGTTCCTTCATCTGGTACATAGCCCTCTGTCTTTTCATCTTGTCTATCTTTCTGTGAATGTGGTTTTTGTTCCACAGGCTGCAGGACTGTAGTTCTTCTTGCTTCTGCTGTCTGCCCTCTGGTGGATGAGGCTATCTACGAGGCTTGTGCAAGTTTCCTGATGGGAGGGACTGCTGGTGGGTAGAGCTGACTGTTGCTCTGGTAGGCAGAGCTCAGTAAAACTTTAATCCGATTGACTGCTGATGGGTGGGGCTGGGTTCCCTCCCTGTTGGTTGTTTGGCCAGGCTCTTTGGTGGGGCTAATGGCGGACTCTGGGAGGGCTCACGCCAAGGAGTACTTCCCAGAACTTCTGCTGCCAGTGTCCTTGTCCTCACAGTGAGACAGAGCCACCCCCCACCCCTGCAGGAGACCCTCCAACACTAGCAGGTAGGTCTGGTTCAGTCTCCTATGGGGTCACTCCTCCTTCCCCTGGGTCCTGATGCACACACTACTTTGTGTGTGCCCTCCAAGAGTGGAGTCTCTGTTTCCCCCAGTCCTGTCAAAGTCCTGCAGTCAATTCCCACTAGCTTTCAAAGTCTGATTCTCTAGGAATTCCTCCTCCCATTGCCGGACCCCCAGGTTCAGAAGCCTTACATGGGGCTCAGAACCTTCACTCCAGTGGGTGGGCTTCTGTGGTATAAGTGTTCTCCAGTTTGTGAGTCACCCACCGAGCAGTTATGGGATTTGATTTTACTGTGATTGCGCCCCTCCTACCGTCTCATTGTGGTTCTCCTTTGTCTTTGGATGTGGGGTATCTTTTCTGGTGAGTTCCAGTGTCTTCCTGTTGATGATTGTCCAGCAGCTAGTTGTGATTCTGGTGTTCTCACAAGAAGGAGTGAGAGCACATCCTTCTACTCTGTCATTGTGGTTCAGGGACAGTCTCTTGGAAATTCTTGACCCTCCTTTCTTGACAGAAAGTGGGACTCACCACTATCTATGACATAACAATGTCATCATCTTCTACTTTATTATGCGTTAGAGATATTAAATATGATTTTCCAATATGATAGAAAAATCAGTATTTTGGTTTACTAAATATACCAATTAATAAAAATTTATCATGTTAAACGCATGGTATACCAATTTTCAAAGAATCAGGACATATCAAATATAATTGATGGTATATTAAGTGTAATGGAATCTTTTCTTGATGACTAGAAGTCACCTTTGCATCGTTACTGCCTCGGTAATCACTGTGAACATTAAAATACAAGTCTAGAAGATGTACTAAAGGCTCAGTTGGTAGTGGTAATTTGAGATTTTGTGATTGAGCTATTATAGAAAAGACTGTCAATCAGGATATTTATAAGAATTATTATTATATTAACTATAATTTTTACTAGAAGTCTAAACTGGAGAAATATTTAAAATGAGAAAGATATTTCTCACTCCTCCCTAATGTAATTATGTATATGTTAGTTTGAAGATGTATCTAAATTCAATGATAAATGCCCAGCCCTGGGAAGGTGGAGGGCAACAATTTTTTTTTTTCTTTAAAAAGAAGGACATTCCGTACAACTGAGCAATGGCACATCTTAGTATTTACCCAAATGATTTGAAAGTTCATGTCCACAAAAAAACCTGCACCTGGTGTCTATAGCCGCTTTGTTCATGATTGCCAAAACTTGGAAGCAACCAAGATGTCCTGCAATTGGTGAATGAATAAATAAACTGTGGTATATCAAGCAATGGACCATTCTTCAGTGCTAAAAAGAAATGAGCTGTCAAGCCATGAAAAGATATGGAGGAACCTTAATTGTATATTACTAAGTGAAAGAAGCCAATCTGAAAGGGCTACATGCTGTATGATTCCAACTGTATGACATCCTGTAAATAACAAAACTAAGGGAACAGTAAAAAAAAAAAAAAATTAAAAAATAGTCCCCCAAAGTGTGGGGAAGGGAGGGATGAGCAGAGGGATGAACAGGCAGAGCACAGGGGACTTTTAGGGCAGTAAAGTTACTCTATTTGATACCATAATGATGGATACATGTCATTATACACTTGTCAAAACCCATAGAATGTACAACATCAAGTCCCGACAAAACCTATCCTCAAAGTCATGTTCACGTTGCAATTATGACCAGCTTATTTGTGAAACAAAAATTGGGGTCCTTTATCTGACAAATATGGGCACAATGGGAGAACATATTTGAAATCTGTGCTACTTATATGAATCCTTGACCTGAACTAAAATGTAAGCTGGATTTTTCCAGGAGAGACTACCTTCACTGAAAACAATGCACACTCAGAATTTCTGGCATCAGCACCTGCTACCTACGTAAAGCTGGATCTCCCTAGATTGGCAACTGACCCATTGCAGTCATTTCAGGATCCTTTATCATTCTCGGTTACCAGCTCCGTTTTGAAAGCTATTTAAAATTCTGTGTGCAAAGTCATTCTCAAGGAATGTCTATTTTCCTCCAGTCTTTTCACTGACTTGTTTCTTCTCTTGTTTTGGATATTCAATGCTTGGAAATCAATTTGCAACTAAGAAGACACTTGGGCACAGGAATTAAATTGTGTAAGTGTTTGAACACTCGTTCATTTATTCATTCATATAGCAAAGATTTCCTGAGCACCGTCATGGACCCTGCAGAGTTCCAGGTACTGGGGACTAAACAATGAATAAAGCAGCTCAAGTCCCTCCCCATCTAGGTCCGACATTCTAGTGGAGAAGAGTGACCATAAGCAAATAATCGAGTATATAGTATGTCTGATGGTGACAAGTGCTGTGCAGAAAAATAAGGCAGGAGGAAGCGAATCAGAGGTGTCAGGGCCTGAGCACAGATCTTAAGAGGTGAGGGAGCCTCTACGTTTGTTTTGAGGAAGGAGACTCTGGAGGAGTGAGCAGCCGGAACGAAAACAGAGGCAGGAACGTGCCTGGTGTGTATGGGGAACAGCACGGGCTGCAGCAGAGTGAACAAGAGGAGATGAGGTCGGAGAGTAAAGTGGGGACAGGTCATGCAGGGGCTATAGGCCACCCAAAGCCTTTGGCTTTTACTCAGAGTAATAGGGGAGCCACTGCAAGTCTTTGAACACAGATGTGACACGTTGGGACTTAACGTTTTTAAAGGATCATTGAAGGATCATCTTCTAATGCGGAGAAGAGATTGGGGAGGACAAGAAACAGGATCTGCTAGGACCAGGTGAAGTTGTCTTTGATTCATGACTCAAAACACTGTATTCTAAACTCAAACCTCAGTGGTGTCTTGCTTCTCAAGATAACTGTCCTGTTCTGTAAACAGGTGGTCCGCTGGTTGGTTGGTGCCTACCCTCCTCTCCTCACCTCACAGGCATCCCCTACTGACCGCAATCAGAACTGAAGGGCTCTGGCATGCTGATTTCAGGGAGCCCAGGTTCCCTGCACCAAGCCACCTGTCTTACAGTGTCATAGGCTGGGATCCTTATTTTAGAGGCATGAACAAATAACCATATTCACAGGGCTTCCCTGGTGAATTCCCTTTTTGAGTCTGGTTGGGCTGTACTGGTAGGTTCCCCAATCACACAAGGGTGTCATGGAGAGAGGAGTCACAGAGTGAACAGTCTCAGAGAAGTGAGCTGAGGGGCCATGTAGATTGTAACATGCCTGGTCCTGGCTGAGAAGGTGAGAGAGCCCTGGAGAGAGACCTGGGAGAGATAATGTGAGGAGTGCCAAGTGCACACTTCATCAGGAGCCTCACTGCCTTGCTTTGTGTGTGTTGGGGGGTATGTGGGTGTGTGAAATGAGCTCAAAGTCCTGTCTAGAATTTCCTGCAGTCTGGAGGAAGCTGTGTGGTGTCTGACGGACAGCCCCTCTGTTGCTCCCATTGCTAAGTGGCAAGGTCAGTGATGGTCACTGTCTGAAATACTAAATGATGTTTCTTAGCAACACTGTACCTTTATAGAGCTCTGCAGAGAAGCTTCACAATGCTTAGCGAGAGAAACTGAAGGCTCCGTTGTGAACGTGTAACCTTTTAAACAGCTGTCTCTGAGCTTTGTCCATAGCACAAGGCCCTCCAGGATAAAAATGTTCAATAAATCTTAGTCAAGTGTCTTGCAATTATATTCTAACAGATTGAATTTGTCATATGTGTTTATGTGACTATTCAAGGAAACAAACTGACTGATGAACTTCTAAACACTTTTTCTCTATAGGTAAACTAATACATGGCTTACAGAATTGAATTATTCCAGACAGGTATTTAAATATAGAGTCCCAAGTAACTTAAATGTTTGAGACATGACAAGAGTACAATGTTCACAGTAAAACCAAAAACTCAGGGATATTCAGGTTCTTACCCTGACTCCTTTATCATCTAACTGTACACTCTTAGACACTCATGTTTGAGATAACATAATATTTACTGTACATTCTTAGACACTTATGTTTGAGATAACATAATATTTATTGGGTGTTTACCATGAGCCAGGCACTGTTCTAAGTTTTTCACATTTCTTAACCCATTTAATCCTCACAACAGCCCTATGAGTTGGATGCCATTATTATTCCCACTCTACAGATGAGGAAAGCAAAGGACAGAAAGATGAAGTGACTTGTTCAGAGACACATGTGTGTCGTGCATCCCTGAGGATCACTCAACTCCCCCAGGTTGAGTGATTTGCTAGGACGACTTACAGGACTCAGCATGCAGTCCTCCTCATGGTTGTGATTTATTACAGCGAAAAGATACCAAGCAAGATGAGCAAAGGGAAAAGGCACATGGGACAAAGTTGAGGGGAAACCAGGCACAAGCTTCCAAGAGTCCTCTCCCGGTACAGTCACCCAGGATGCACTTAATTTCCCCAGAAATAAGTGGCGACAACACATGTGCAAAGTGACTCCCAGGGAAGCTTATTAGTGACTCAATGCCTGGGGTTTTTATTGGAGGCTGGCCACGCAGGCAACCTCTGCCCAGCATGTATCAAAATTCCAGACTCCCAGAAGGCAAGCAGGTTTTCAGCATGAATCGTATTGTTTGCCCAGTTCAGACACAGGGAGTTACTCTTACCAATTTGGGAAGTGGAGTGAATGCTCTTGAAAACCAAGTTCCCGGATGCCAACCAAAGACCAACCTTGCAAGGAGGCCTTTTTAAGACCAGCAGTCACACTTGATATGTCAATACTTTTCTGCACATGCATCTGCTAAGTAGAAGAGCTATGCTTCCATCACAAGTAGATTCTGGAGGCCAAATGCTGAACCACTGTGATCTACGGGTTACCACAGATGTCCAGCAGATAGATTCAGGATCCTAGAATTCAGGGGAGAGGTCTGGTTAGAGATGTCGTTATGGGAGTTGCTGGCCTGTAGTGACATTGAAAACTAAGTTCACTTAGGAGGGGAATGTAGTTTGAGCATCAAGAAGGTCAGAGGACTGTACCCTGGGGCCCTCCAACATCCAGAGATCAGGTGAGGGTGAAGTTCATGGATGTTTAGAAGAGGCCAATGGATTCAGAGGAAAACCACGAGGAAGTCACGCCCTACAAGCCAAATGAAGTTAGTGTTTCAGGAAGGCAGAGAGGAACAAGATACTGCTGATGGACCAGACAAAAAGAGTGTGGAGTGACCATTGAGCATGACCACATGCAGGTTGCTGACTTTGACCAGAACCGTTACAGCGGAATGTCAGGCAGAAGCCCAGTTGGAGTGGGTTCCAGAGAGCATGGGAAGAGAGGAAGTGGAGATCACAAAGGATTAAAAACTCTTTAAGGCATTTTGCTATAAAAGAAAGAGGACAGGGCTTCCCTGGTGGTGCAGTGGTTGAGAGTCCACCTGCCGATGCAGGGGACACGGGTTCGTGCCCCGGTCCGGGAAGATCCCACATGCAGCGGAGCGGCTGGGCCCGTGAGCCATGGCCGCTGAGCCTGCGCGTCCGGAGTCTGTGCTCCGCAACGGGAGAGGCCACAACAGTGAGAGGCCTGCATACAAGCTATAGAGGAAAGTGGATTTCAAAAGATGTGGTGTGTAACATGGGAGCTATTACAGCATGAGACTGGTCCAGTAGAGGAGGGCAATGAATGATGCATGAGATCAAGGGGATAATGGTGTCTTTGAGTAGATGAAAAGGGATGGGACACAGTGTACAAATCGGTCTTAGATTAGATCATGGGCTGTTTAGCCAGAGTTACAGGAGGGAAGGCAAATTATTTTTACAGAGGCAGGTGGGGCAGGTGGGTGAACATGGAGGTGGCAGGGGATAGAATTTTTCTTCTGGTTGCTTCAACTTTCATCACAAAGTGGGAAGAAAATGTTTAGCTGAGAGTCAGGAAGCGGGGGGGTGTGATGGGCAGTTGGAGAGGAGGAGGTGCATGACGGTCATCTACAAGGTCACAGGAATGAGCTGCCTGGGGAAGTATGGCAGGACTGCTGGGGCTACTATGGGCCTAGGAGAATCTTAGACATTTGCTGCCATCAGTTTAAAATAAGACCAGCTGCCATGGTTGGGTGGGTTTTCCAGCCATGCGCAGTGGTAGGGTTTCAGGCATAGAGTGATAGAGGGTTGGACTTAACCAGGATGGGGTTTGGCCAGGCAAGTGTAAGGAAGAGCAGAAGTGGTGTGGGCATGGAGGGTGGATGCAGCGGAGTTTATCTACAGACAGAGGCAGAGGGCTGTGGGACCCAGTCCTCACTCTTTCCTGCAGGTTGGGACTGGAGGGCCTCAGAAGTCATTTCCTTTAAAGGTACAGTGTATGGTGCAATAAACACACAAAGAGTGCAAGACTCATCTCTGAAATAAAGTCTAGTGCTGTTGCTGACTGTGACTCACCTTTGAACTAGTTGCCCAGGTTGGTAATCACTAATCCACCGAGAACCAGTGACAGGTGGCTATAACTTTCTCAGATGTCACTGTCCCTGGGGTCTTGAAACAAGCATGCTCTCTACGAGCCTGGCCCTCACCCTTTACAGTCAGTACACACCACTCACAGAGCCAGCCCGGAAGCACCAGTCCCCCCCTTTATGGGAAACAGGTTTCAACTGGTTGATTAGTTGTTCCCACCCAGGTGTGAGGCCCGGTTCCTCCCTCTCCAGCCCTGAACCTGTCAGAGGACTTTGTCCGGTTCTCTACTTCTTAGTCAGCTTACGGCCTCTTAGCAAGCACACACCTCTGGGGTCTTTTGATTTGTTCTTCCTTTACTGCAGGCTGCGGTGACTCAGCCTGCTTTCCGGGACCCTTCCTGTCCCCTGAGGGCCGGGCCCGCTACCCCCTCCCCTGCCCCCTCCCTCCCTACTCATCTCTGAAGATAAGTCCCCAGGCCCTTTGGATTTTAAAAGATTTATTGCATATCACCAATATATAAGACAACAAATAGATCACAGATAACTAAAATTGGCATAATACAGAGTTTCTAGAATCCCAGCACAGTTGGTATAACTATGGTTCAATGTATGGTGTGGACTCTGGTCTGGGAGAGTGACTTAGAAAACCATCGAGTCTTCCCTCCTGTGTCTCTCCTTTACTCTCACATGACTACCATGCTCACAGCACTTCTGACACTTTTCTTCACCAAATGTTTGTGGGGTTTTCCCACACTGAGTGATTTTCTGTGACACCGGGTGGGTGTCCTACAACGTAACTCAATTCTGACACTATCTACCTGGAGTCAGCATCAGATCCCACAGGGTAAGGGCGGTCCCAAGAGCCTGCCCCTCTCCTACATCAGACGCCAAATGCAAGTAGAAAGAAGGTCCCCAGGTTACCTACAACCCCTGTCAGCCGTGGCTACATACATGATCTTCTCCCCCTTGGATTCGATTATTTGCTAGAGCAGCTCAGAGCACTCAGAGAAACACTTATGTTTACTAGTTTATTAAAGGATACAGATGAACAGCCAGATAAAGAGATACCCAGGGTGAGTTCTGGAAGGGTCCTGGATACAGGAGCTTCGTCCCTGTGGAGTTAGGACGCATCACCAGCCTGGTACAGGGATGTGTTCACCCACCTGGAAGTTCTCTGAACCCCCCACTATTGGGACTTTATGGAGGCTTCATCACGTAGGCATGATGGATCCTGAAGTCCATTTCCAGCCCCTCTCCTCTCTCTAGAGTGGTGGGGGTTGGGGGAATGAGGCTGAAAGTTCCGAGCATCTAATAATGATTTGGTCTTTCTGGTGACCAGCCCCATCCAGGAGCCCAACCAGAGTCGCCCCATTAGAACAAAAGCTGCTCCTGATTGTCTATCACTGAGGAATTTACGGGGGTTTCAGGAGCTCTGTGTCAGGAACCAGGACAAAGCCCAAATATATATTTCTTATTATATAATAAAATCACAATATCACAGCTGGGGGGCGGAAACTTCTGCCTTTACCTAGTTCCCAAGGCTGAATTCCCCATCAACGATAGGAATGTCTTCCGCCTCCCCAGTATCTCCTAAGAGCCCCTCCTTCCAACTCTGAGGGCTGACGCACCCCCTCCCTGGAGATCGAGATTGGCACTGCTGAGGACCTCAGTCATCAGAGCTCATTTCCCCACAGGCCCCCTTGCTTAACTTCTCTGAACCTAAACTTCCTCATTTTGAATTAGGGAGAGTAACAGATGATTTATAGAGTGGGCATAAAAGCTGGAAACATAAAGGTTAGTTTTCTTTCCCTTTTCCTTTCTTCAGAGAACACCAAGATCACTCTGAATGGCCTTCCCCAAACCACAAAGTCATAGAGTTGGACATTTAAAGCTTCTGAACAAAGAGAACCACAGAACTCAGGGTAAACTCCCAAAGCACAGGGAGAAAGCAGATGCTTTCACTAAGGGAAGCATCAGCGACCAGACTCACACTCATCCCCCAAACCCTTATCGCATCCGATGTTTATGCCAAAGGGAGCATCCGTCTCTCCATCTCTCTTCCCAGAGAATCCTTGGAATTGTTTGTCAGATTAACGGGATTCTGATTCCAGGGCTGCCTTAAGACAAGCCAGAGGGTCACCCTGGCTGGCCGGGCCTGTTTCTTATCTGGAAACCATGGCAGGGGCCCTATAGTCTTCCTCACTCTAAAATCCTATCTTATCTGTTGCTGAGAAGCATGTTCAGAGGCAGGTTAAATCAATATTTCTGAGCATTCACTATGTAGCAAGGAAAATGCACCAGAGCCCCTACCCTCCTGTAACAGGAACAATAGAGATGAAAAAATGAATTATCAGCAAGAGGTTTGTTACAAAAGGAGAAGTACAGGTGCATGTAGACAGGGAAACCCACCTAGTGAGAGAACGCACAGTGCTTGAATCAGAAGAAGGTAAATACAGATGGAACACAGGGGACTGGGGAAGTGGACAGGGAATCAGATCTGCATTGGGGATTTCAGACTTTAATCTGAGGACACGGGGGACGAATGAAGGACATTAAGGATAATTATATGATCAGATAAGAATTTTAAAGAGATACAGTATGGCTGTAGTATGGAGACCATGTGCGTGCGTGTGTGTGCGTGTGTGTGTGTGTGATGGGTGTGGGAAGGCTGGGGAAAGAGATGAGTGAATTTCATTCTGGATCTGCTCAGTTTGAGGTCCTAGCATCACCTGAGGGACCCAGACTCTTTAGAGCTTTCATTAAATATCAACTTTGTATTTTGTGTAGCAACTTTGTCTATTGCTACAACAAGGCAACAGACATTTGTACTGTTTCATTGAACAAATTCTATTTGACCTTTAAAAATCTCTCCCTGGCTTTTTTGTGTTATTTTCTGCCTGTCGCAAAGTATTTGACTTTTGGTTACTTATCTAGGTTAACATCAATGTTATGACTTTAGGCAGTTCCCCTATGTCAACATTGTAGATCTTGAATCTACATGGATGACTTGAGACAAAAGAATTCTGAATGCTCAAAACCTGAGAAGTTCCTTCTAAAGTGCTAAAAGGTGCTACAGGCCTATGTAAAGGGTTTCTTCTTCTATACTCAAGGGTTTTCAAGACTCAATTTGGTAACAATGTTTGCCTCCTTTCCTGGGAGAAATCACAGGTTCTGGGAGGAGGGAGGATCGTAGGGCTTGAGGGGGCCTTAGCTTTGGGCCCTGGATCTTAAATCATAAGGTGAGATGACATTGATTCTTAGTTAACTAGGGTTGTGCATTTTCAGGTATTTCAGTAATTCAGAACTCCGCATTTGACTGGCTGAATATCTCAATTCACCACAAGATGGCAGCACGAAGTTAATTTTTAAAAGTAGGTGACTTTCTAGAGCTCGCATAGAAAGAGGGCTTCGAAAGGAAACCATAACTGAGAACTTTTCTTCTTGTTCCTATAGCTGGAAAGAAACGACGAAAGAAATATGGAAGGAAGTAACAGAGGTAAAAAGAAAAGAAAGTGGGGTGCAGGAGGGAGAGGTGGCAATGAAAAAGCAAAGTAAAAGAACGGAGAAAAAACATTTCACAAACATTCAGCTAGATTACATTTAACGAAAGAAAAGAACCAAGCCACCGATGTAGGAAATTTCCGAGAGAGGAAACCAGTGTTATAACCACATTTACTCACAGCCTCGATGTGTGAGTATAAGATAGACATTTGACCTTCTTATAAAAGCAGTTGTGTCTCTGGGAAACTATGAGAATGAATTTACATTTACAAAGTGTTCTGGTCCAGTTAAGTCAGTCTTACGTTAGCATAAAGATCAGCTTGGATTCAAGACTTATTTTATGTAGTACCCTTCATAGAGGTCTTACACGTTGGTTTCCATGTTTAATTGTGTGGGGAAATAGGATACATTATTCAAGAAGAGAATAATTAGACACACACTGGCAGCAATGCCTTGATATGTTGGAAATAGAAAGGGTGCCACCAGTTCAGTGGTCCTGGAAGCCCCTGAGCTGAGCAGAATTCTTTCAGCATTGGCTCTTTGAGTCTCCATGGACCACCCACCACTTACTTGACCTACTGTCGTTGATCTCTTCTGGCTACTTGCTCTGTCCCCTGTCTCATGAATTTGGAATAGCAGAAAGTTCAAGAAAGGGAGAGATCTTAAGAATGGTGATTGCTTCATCTTGAGTTTTTTTAACCTTGGCATTTTTTAACCTTGACATTTGGGGCCAGACAATTCTTTTTCTCGTGGGGGGGTGGTGGTGGTGAAGGGCTGTCCTTCCCATGGTACGATATTTAGCAGCATCTTTGGCACATACCACCAAATGCCTGGAACACCTCCACCCCAAGCTGTGACACCCAAATTGTCTCCAGACGTTGCCAAGGGTCTCCGAGGGAACAAACTTATCTCCACCTCCCCATCTGAGTACCACTGCTTTAGATAAACTCTAACTAACTGAAGAAAATCCTGAAAGTTTTGTTTATCTTGCTGTCCTGTTCATGGGCAAAACTCATATTGAGTCCACAGAGAAACATGTGTTTTTCAAATGTGTTTTCCAAGTATGAAATTGGACATAAATGCCTTTGTTAGAGTCAGAGGAATGTTCTCTATATGAAACAAATCAACAAATATTTATTATGAATGTTTTGTTGAGCAAAGACTTATGCCAGGCACCGTAGGGCATACGAAACAGTAAAAGAATTTTTATAGAAATGAAAACAATTAATGCTGGTCGAATCCTTATTATGTGCCAGACACTTTTTCTGTCCATTGTGAATATGCGTCTTCTATTCATCTCCTTTCAACTTTGCAAGCTCTCTATGAAGAAATATTATTTGCATTTTATAGGTGAAGAAACTGAGGTTGAGAAAAGTTCAGTCACTAGCTCAATGCCACATTAATGGTAGGTGACAAAGGGCAGTCTTCCTAACACCAAGGACTGTGTATGCTCTAGTCCCAAACACTAACCCTTGAGGAGATTACAGTCTGGTTAGGGGAACGATGCATGTACACAGGAAAGGTGTCTAATGTCATAACATCTAATGTCATATCTATTCCAAAAAAATTACAGGACACATTGCTATAGACTAGAGTGATCTGAGAAGTAGTGTGATCGGTCTTGATCTGTGTGTCCTTAAAGAATAGAAGATTAGAGAGGTAGATTAGAAAGATGGGCAAGTGTAGGTTCCATTCTATAAAAGGGCAATCTCCTGAGAAGCGGTGAAACTGTGGAAGGGTGTTGAGAGCATAGGGTACAGATGGCTAAATGGAATGGAAGATCTGTGCTGAGAAGGAGAGGTTAATACAGGTTGGAAAGGGTGGCTGGCAACAACTGACACAGGGCCTTGAATATAATCCAGAAATAATAAACTGGCAGGCCAAAATAATAACTTTGGTTCAGTTCAGAGTTCTGAAAATTGAGAAATTTGGGAAAAGCTGGATTTCTAACATTCTTGAATGTGGTGACTTTGAGTCTACATTCCTGTATCTCAACACTTTGCTGAAGCCAAGGAGTGGTCGCTGTCTTTAATGGGCTCTGGGCTCTCCAGTTCAGCAAAACCCACACCACGCCCTAATCTATTACCCTCCTCTTGCTTCACTTAATTATCTGCTTAGCCCCTCTCAGCAGTGGAATTTGCACCTAAATTTAGAAAAGGGTGTTCTCAAAATTTAATCTGATACAACCAATGAAAATTGACTTTTTCTTCTAACAGTCCACTAGAAATGGGAGACAAGAGCTAATCCTCCATTTGACGTCTTTCCATATATCCAAGGACTATTATTAAAGTGTCCTTTCCTTCCTGTCTTCCCCACTGTGATCACCCCTAGTTGTGTCGCTTTCTCCAGGAGCTGTGCACTATAAACCTTCCACCGTTGTTGCTGTTCAGTGCTGGAGTTGATGTGGACTTTCACATCTTTGTAAACTGTGAGCACCAACCTGTGTACCCCAGCACTGCTGCCACCTCTTCTACTTGTGCCTAGTCTGTGACAACTCAACCCAGCAACTGATATTTCCACTATGTTCCAGGCACTGTGTTAATGAATGTCGACTATCACTAACAGACAAAGAGCAGGAGGATTTATATTCTAGTGGCAGAGATAGACAGTAAGCAATGAACAGAAAACATAAGTAAATTATATGTGTTTGAAAACGATATCTGCTAAGGAAAAAAACCAATAGAGTGGAGTTAGGGGGCTGGCAATGGGGATTGCAATTTTCAGTAGAGTGTTCAGCGTAGGCCTCTTTGAGAAGGTGGCATTTAAACAAAGACTTGAAAGAGGTTGCTGTGGGAAATGACCTTAATGCCGTAGGAACATCCAAGTACAGTCAAGCTCTTCTGTTATGGAACAGAAAGGCTCACAGGCCAAATTAAGATACTCAAATCATGCAGATTATTGAATCAACCTAACAAATAACACATGGAGAGTAGCAAGAGGAAAGAGATGGTATAGGTTAACATACTTAGGATGTTGTATAAGCAGGTAGAAGGCTCACACTAGATGAATCCCGAGTTGTGCAACGTTAATATATTCTCTCTCTCTCTCACATACACACACACAAACACCAGCCTTCTCACTGATAGTAAAGTTATAGGACCAGACTTGAACTTAACCCAGAAGCTCAGCAGAGAGAAGATGCCTGGGGACCAACACACGCTTGCTCTATCAGAGAGACTCAAGGCCAAGCACTCTTGGTCTAAAGCTGTAGCTCATATAATAAGCCTGTTGAACAGCACAAGCTTTTCCTGGTTCTCTTGGGCGGAAAACACGTGGAGTCAGAGTGGGGTCCGTGATGCATATTCCCAGGGGGCGGTCAATTTGAGATAACACGGCTGTCAGCCTGGAGGTGGCACGATCAGGACCTACTGCTTAGTCCTTCCATCCCTTTCTTTATAGAAATAACACTCTTGATGATTCCATGCTTTGAAAATCATACATTTCACTCATTACGTCTAGCTTTAGCATATCTCCTAGGATGTTTACTTAGCGTATTTAACATATCTTAGGAGTTTTATCCATCCCACTGTTTTTCCCATCTTTGAGAGCAGAACTGAATATTCTCAAATGTAGTAATCACACATTACGGAGGTGAAGGAGTTAGCCAGGAGGACACCAAAGGGAAGAACAGCCTGGGGAGAGTAGTGGCGAAGGGGAGCTGCGCCTGGTGTCTCTGGAACGGCAGGAACAGGGTGGCTGGGGTGGGGTGAGTGGGTGAGTGGACGTGCGCAGGATAGGAGGGCAGATTTTGCTGGGCCTGATGCCCATTGTGAGAACTTTGTCTGTAATACTAACACAGATCCATCCTTCGCCGAATTACACCGTCAACTCTATTTTTCCATCCTCTAGGAATTACCCTTTACTCACACAGAGGGGGGGAAATCACTGTAGTGCAGTGTCATGGAAGCCGGAGAGAGTTTCCGAAAGAGGTCAACTGTGGCAGCCGTCACTGAAAGGACTTTGATAAACAATAGACTCTGGGGGATGATGAGAAAAAGGTGGAAGAAAAGGCCATTTGAATTAGCAATAAAGATGTCATTGGTGACCTTCAGGGCCAGGTTTCAGTGAAGCAGCCAGGGCAGAGGCTGAGTGTAGTGTTACAGAGGAAACTGTGGGGAGGAAATGGATGTACTGCTTCCGAGGGCCCGGTGACCTTTGTGCCTCACGGTTGTTGATGTCAGAAAGCGCTCCCCTCTCCTCTGTGGACTGTGGCCCAGGCTTCGAGCACTTCCCAGCAGAGCCCCACAAACCCAGTTCCCATGTATTAGGCTGATGATTAAAATATTTCCAGCAAAATCTACCAGATTCTTTGAAAGGCCTTTGAGGTTGCTCACTCAAGTAAATCCTTTTACTTACTATTTTGTTTGTATATGTGTGGAAGGAAAGATGAGATTAATAATCCTCTCTGCTAATTGATCATTTCTAGTACTTAAAAATCTGTCATTCTGGTTCCAAAGTTTATCTGCACTTCTATCCCTGCATGCATCCCTCCATCCATTTGTCCTCTTCTTTTTTTTTTTTAAATTTATTTTCTTTACTTTTATTTATTTATTTTTTGCTGTAAGCGGGCCTCTCACTGTTGTGGCCTCTCCCGTTGAGGAGCACAAGCTCCGGACGCGCAGGCTCAGCAGCCATGGCTCACGGGCCCAGCCGCTCCGCGGCATGTGGGATCTTCCCAGACCCGGGCACGAACCTGTGTCTCCTGCATCGGCAGGCGGACTCTCAACCACTGCGCCACCAGGGAAGCCCCCTCGTCCTCTTCTTGATAGCTATCTCCATGAAAGACAGGCTTTCCTTATCTATAAATTTACTTTGTCCACCTGACTCTGGACTCCAGTCCTTCCCACCCCACAAAACCCTTCTCTCGGCCTCCTCACTCTCCCCAGACACCTTGCAGACCAGTGAATCCCTTTTTATTTCTGATCTCTAATCTCTCCCTTTCTTGAATAAACCCAAATTGTTTCTATCTTCAAAAATAACACCTCTCCCCATCCC